CCGCCGCTTTGCTCGCGGGGCTGGGGAGGAAGCCCATGCGCACGCCGGCCACCCGGTACGCCTCCACCAGCTGCTTGCTGCCCTTGCGGGCGATGTACACCAGGTACTTGAGGAGCTCGTCGTAGCAGCTGCCCGGCTCCGAAAAGCTGGCGAGGGTGCTGGCGTTGGACAGGTAGCGCACCCGCTGCTCCTTCATCAGCTGGCTCTCGCGCTGCTTCGTCTCGGAGAACTGCGTGGCTATAACCACCAGGCAGAGGTTGATCATGAAGAAGGAGCCCACCTAAGGGAGGAGATGTGTCAGCTGTCCAGCTGCCGGGTATTCCCATAGCCCCACTCCTGCTCCAGGGTATTCCCATCCCCTAGCTCCAGCCCGTGCTCCACAGTGTCACATGGGGGTGAGTTATCGAGCACCGCTGAGCCCCAGTCCCCTCCTCTGCCCTGCCGGGAGCAGAAGGGTCTCCCCCTTGTGCATGAGACACTTTGGGGAGAGCGCCCTGAGCCCAGCGCACTGCACAGCAGGAGCTGGAGGAACGTGCAGACAGGGAGGTTGTAAGAGCAGAGCGGAGGGAGGACAGGGATGGGGCTTTACAGCCCCAGACAGTGCAGAGATGCCATGGGAAGCGCGAGAGCAGGTGCTTGGCTTGGCAAAAAGGCCAGAGAAATGATGGAACAAGTCACCCTTGGACACTAACACAAGGCTGGAAGAGCAAAACCACCAGCTGGAGCTGAAGGCACAAACAGCAGCGGGGATGCCCACGAGCCGAGCGGGGAGCCCGGCCACAGGCGCACACGGAGCAGCCGCCTCATCCCTGGATGCAGCCGCCCCGACCCCCACGCCGGGCACTGCCGAGGGCGTCAGGATCGGAGCCGAGAGGAGATCATTCTGACAAAAAGCTTTTGCTCTTTTAAGGTTTTGTTTTTCTGTCTCTGCAGACAGCAGTTGTAATTATCACAATTAGTGGCATTACGATGAACGCACTGAGCCATACTGATAGGAGGGTGTTTTTTTTTTCTGGCAGTGTGTGGGTAGCTGGTGAGCGGATCCCTTTCTCTGCTAACAGGATTTGCGAGTTACTGTTACACAAGGGCATCAGCAGTCTGCATCCACAGCTTTGGGGTTTTATTTCAACCCAGGAGGTTCTGCCTCTTGCAGATCCCAGCTTGGGTCACAAAGAATAACTAATGTCCCCAGCCCCTGCTAATGGGCCACCACACACCACTAAGGTGCTCGCGCAGCATCTGGGAAGGCACCGTTTCCCTTCCTCTCTGTTCCTCCAGAGAGGCAGAGAACAAGGAACTGCTGCCTTTATTACTTTTTCTCTTTTTCTTCCTTTTTTTTCTCCGCACCCCCCAGAATAGATGAACCAGAAAAAGCAACATGGGCTAAACAGATTCCTACCTTCTCCTCAGGGTTCAAGTCCTGGCTTGATGAGGGTCAGAAATCCCTGCAATGGTCTAATGGAAGATGTACAGCTATTTTGCTGGACTTAGTCCAATTAGACAGGAAGAATGGGGCTCATCTCACTTAGCTACATCTGAGTGAGGCACCTAACGATCCTTTGGAGTCAAGAGAGAAATAGGCACATCAAGTCTGCAATGCATCTAATTTATTTTAGATATCTACCTCAGGATGAGATGAATCACCCCTTAAAGCACCTATTTTTCTGCCTTGACGATAAAGAGAGTCTAGACACCGACGAGCTCAGCTAGCTGCTGTAGCTCTTTCTGCTTGCGAAGGCCAACCCCATCATGAGGTCCCTGCACGGAAGGGCTTTGCTGCCTTCCTCATGGGTGGGCCCAGATGAGACTGAAGCGTGGGCAGCCCGTGGGGACTGATCTGTTCCCTCACGTCTTAATGTGCTCTCTGACGGGGGACTGCTTTCCTGGAATGGCCGTTCTCCACCGAGGACTCCAGCCAGCCAGGCTATTGGATGGGAGACAGTTTCAGCCTCCTCCCTGTCCAGAGTTCAGAAGCTGATTGGAAAGTTTGCCTATCTTTTAAGCTTAATCCAAGGAAGCCATTAAAGGAGGAGAACTTCCAGCGCACAGCACCTACTCCTCCTAGGTAGAGACAGTCAGTGAATTGTCTGCTCCACCACTCCACTCTGCCCTTTCCAGTGCAGCAGGAGGAAACACCAGTTCACAGGACAGTGACAACTCACAATGATCAGGAGGATGAAGTAGATGAAGTTGTAGAAGGAGTGCGCGTCCATGACGAAGTACATGATGTCCACCCAGCCCTCCAGTGTGATGACCTGGCAGAGAGAGGGAAGGGAACAGAGACTCGCCAAGGCTCAGGGAAACACCACGCACAGGCAACGCTTCTCATAGCTGGGTCATGCCCGACCTTGGCACCACGTCTCAGACCACTACAAGGCACTAAGGAGCCAAATGCTACTTTCATTGATGCCAAGAGCAACACTCAGCTGCCCACAATGCTGACTCCATTTCTAAGGTCCACCGCTGTGTTTTGCAGAGGGAGGAGCAAGCTCCAGGCTCTGCTCCACACCAGGATGCTCCCTGCTTAAGCAAAGCATTTGGAGCCTAGGGTTTTGTCTGCGGATGCAAGAGGGGCATGTTCAGAGCACACGTCAAATCGTCTTCCTGGCATTTCAAGTACCCTGGCACTACCACACAGATGCTGGGTGCTGATTCATCTCTGGGAATGCGATCATACATCCCTGGGAACACATGGGCAGACCCAACTGGCTGTTTTCTTCCCCGGTGACAGGGGACTGACTCCCCACAGCGCTCACCTGAAATATTGCAATCCAGGCATAGCCGATGTTGTCGAAGTTGATGGCACCTTTGAAGGGGTTGTGCTCCCCGGCAGAGCAGTTTGTGTAATACTGGTTCCAGTTGACGCAGGACGTGTTGGTGGTGTCATTGTAGGAATAATAATCCAGCGTGCACTCCAGGCCCTCCTCCCTCCGCGTTGGGATGCTGCGGCAGTAGCGCATCCCGTTCTCACGGGGCTGGGAGCAGATGAAGGGGTTCTCATCTTCATTCTCTGTCTGGTAGTAGCGCTCCAAGTCCACGGTGTAAGGGCTGAAAGAGGGCACACACAGCTTGGGCTCGCACACCGGCTACGGGCAATCTGCCACAGTAACAACTGTAACAGCAAGAAGTCTGAAAACTCTTATCATGGATGCTAATGCTCTCTTAAGAAGTTCAGAAGTGAACGAGATGGGTTAGACCATGTCAAAGCCCTGCTACGTCCAATGTTGTGGTTCTGGAGCAACCGCTCCGACCTTACCAAGAGCCTCTCCATTGAGAGTTGCTCCAGCTTTGACTTTGGGGGACTAAGAGCAGCATTTTGCCCCACAGGGCTTCTGAAGTCTTTGCTGCAAGAGGATGGAAATCAGTCAATTTATGTTCATGTATCTCCAGTCCTGGATATCTAAGACCAGCTCAGGGAGACTCTATGCACATTGATCTCCCAAGCTTGTGAAACCAGTCAGGGCCTTTCCTCTGCATTTCACTGTGACTGTTCAGCACTAGATAAGCTATAAATTCCCTCTGAGGGTGGCCTGACAACAGCTACCCATGCAAAAATGCTTTTCAGGGAGATGTAACAACCTGTGGCCAGCCAGCAACTGGCTTCTTGCTCAGCAAACAGCTATCCCCTTAATGCTGCCAGGACTCCCACTAAAGCTTGCAAAGATATTTTTAAGCCTAGTTCAGCCCAGTTAATTCCTGCAGAATTGTCTTTAATACCCTTCAAATCTTATCTAAGCCCCTGGAATTCTGGTTCAATTAGAGAGCACCCAAACCTGTAACTCTGTTGGATTTCCTCAGTGGTGAATCAGTCCCTTTGCTCTGTTGCCATGTTATTTAGAGGGCTCTTGCCCTGCTAATGAGTCTCCTGCTCCGCCCTGAGGACACAGTCTACAAGAGGGGTGGTAGTTGATTAGGAAATGCGTGGGAGAGGACAAAACTTGTCGCTCCAGGCCCAAGAGCCATCCAGACACAGCGACCTCTCCATGATCCTGCTGTGTGCAAGACAGAGACTATGGGGCTGCAGAATTATCGCACCACGGTACGGGTCTAACTGGATCAACACTCGGGAGTCTGCATTGGGAAGTGATCTGCTAAGAGGTGACAGAGTTTTGGAGACTTGTTTTTCCTCCCTAGTTGGACGATTACCCATAATAACAACCAAGAGCCTGTCGGGTTTGTGTTGTCCTTATGGCTCTTCCAGATTCACAGCACTATGCATGAATAACTACCAGATCACAGGGCACCAGTTCTGGGCTGGACGCTGCTCTACCACACGTTGGTGTGACCTCTGGTCCCTCCAGCACCAGCAGGACATGGATTTACCCGACCTGGAGACACTTGTCCTGCCCCCTGCGCAGGGGACCCTGCTGCAGACTCACATGCTGAAGTTCTCGGGGAGGAAGCAGCGGTTCCTGAGCAAACCCGCCCACAGCTGCACTCCCACGATGCCGAAGATGAAGAAGACGAAGAAGCAGAGGAGAAGGACGTTCCCCAGCATGGGTAGCGTGTCCAAGAGAAGTGTCACCAGAATGCGCATGCCTGGGGCAAAGACAAAGTGGTCGTTAATGAGAATTTTTCATGTTCCAGATATGTCCTCCTGCCTCTTTCCTTTCCATCCACACTCCATGCTTTTCCATCTCCTGACATTCAGCTGCCCACCCATCCACTGTCCCTTTTTTCCCTCCCTGTCTCAATTCCTCCTCTCCTTGAGGAGTCTTCTCCACCTTCTCTCTGCAACTGCTCCCACCTTCCCACAGACCGACCTCTACACTGCCCTTGTTCTGTCAGATTCCTTTCCTTTCTTCCAATATATCAAAATTAAAATTCCCTTCCCCTCCTAATTCCTCCCATCTACCCTAAATCCCCTTTCTGCCTTAAAACATAGGATTTTCTCTGGCAGTTAATTCTCACAAGTTCAGGAACAGACAGTTCTGTAACAAAGACAAATTGATGGTGACTTCAACTTGACATTTACACACGCTGAAAAAAAAAAAGTGATTTCATCTGACATCTCTGTAATATTCTACTCTCTCTCCTTCTTTCCCCATCTTCTACATTCTCTTGCTTGATTATATTGATTTTAATTTAAATAAATCTTTCCTGCTGCACCCTTTGATACTTCAAGATAGCTGTTTTTCTTTTTTCTCTGTTACCTGCTGCTGTCACCTCCACTATCGGGGTTTTTTGTTTTTTTTTTTTTCTCCTCTATTCCTCTGCCGGGGAATAACCACCTTGCGTCAACTCCTAATTAACTGAAATGACTTTCTGTGGTTACTGCATTTATCATCATAAAGAACTTTCTTTCCCCCTTTCCACCTTACATTTCTCTCCCATTGTAGCTACGTTGCACAGGAGCCAAGATAAATTACCCAGGATTTGAAAATACATTAAGTGAATTACATCCCCAGTTAGACAGTGGCAGATAAATTCAGCCATCTCAGCAGGGAAAAAAATATATTTTGCAAACAGGATTCTGACGCTACCATAACGATTGAAACAACAGCAGCAGCAGCACACCAGATTAAGTTTAACAGTCAGGATCAGAAAAATAAATAGAGCCCTGGCACCTCGAGCACTGACAGACAGAATTGAGGCTGATTAGTTCTCATCAGGACATCGGCTAGTTCAGGTAGGTGAGTGTTCAGCCTGGGATTTAATTTGGCTAATGACAGCGCTGAATTCAATACTCAGCATTGCAGGCCCAGGCACACATTTCTAATGCACTTGTACTTACGCTTAACACACTCCGTCCTTACAGAGATGGAGTTTACTGCCCGTCTCTCCTAGATCTTTGTGCTGTGCCCAGCACCGTGGAACGGGAATGGCTCCCGGGGAAGTTTGGAGGGGTTTGCAGGGGCACCAGCACCTCCCCGAGCCACGGGCTGAGCCTAGGACTAGGCCACGACACCGGCCAGCGTCAAAGCTGGGTCTGATACCCTCAAGCGTGACTTGCTAAGACAGCAGCAGATAACCTCCTCCCATCCCATCCAGGTTTGCCTTGGAGGTGTGGGGGTAAGGTAGGCTTGCTCATTTTCCTGAGGTCTGGAAAATAGGCAGCTTTACTCATGAGAAGCATTTCTCTTGGAAAAACTCTTGCAAAGAGGAAGATATTGCAATACTCTTTAGTGCTCCTTAAGGTACTCCAAGGCTTTCAGAACATCGCTGTATTCAAGACATGAGGCCACATGAGGCGAGCAGGACTAGCATCTTGGCTTCCCAGGGAGGAAATACCTTGGACAATATATGTTAAATAAAAAACAACAGCAGCTGGATCCTTAGCACAAGGAAAGCATGACTTTCCTCACCCGCATTCCTTCCGACCCATCTCATGCATCATCAGATAGGACATCTTGGACAACTGCTCCTTCAGCAGAGAGAACTAGATCTCATTCTGCAGGAGGTTGGTGACACAGGACAGTGCGAGTGAAGTGGCTTTGACCCCCTGCCCGTGCTGCCTGTTGAAGGTTGTCAACTCGGGCATCTCTACCACCCGCATCACTCCAACTTACTGGTTTCCTAAGACCTTCTTAAGGTTTTTTTTTTTTTTTTAAAAAAAAAAAAAGCAGTGCAACTACAGCACTAGTTTTCTTTTTGATTAGTTGCCCGTCTTGATTCCAAAGGTGTCAGAGGAATATTATTTAAAGTAGGAGAATGTCAGGCCCTAGAAACCAAAGAGCAGAAGTAGGACATCACAACCAAGGTCTGGGTCAATGACTGGGCTGCAATGCAACACAGGAAGCATCTGCATTTGCTCTCCCTTCTATGGGGCATAGAAATAAAAACTGGTATCAACGAGCGGGAATAAGGAACCAACTCACTGGGAACCCTGTTAATGGCTCTGAGTGGCCGAAGGACACGGACGGTGCGCACGGCTGAGAAGCTGACGTTCTGCAGGTCCAGGGAGTATTCCAGCATGCTGTGAAGACACGAACACGGAGGAGTGTCAAGGATCTCCAGGAAAGAGATTCAGGTTAGATTATCAAACGTTATAAATGAAACATTATACGCCAGCTGCCCACAGAGAGACTTTTTAACTGCATCTCTCCCATCAGGAAAGTTTGCCAGAGGAATTAATTAGGGGTTATTTGCATATCAGAATAGAGTCATTGAGAGAGAACATTGTACAACAGCTCCAATGGCTGCAGTCGCTACCACCTGCTTTGGCCACTGCTCTTGTAGAGAGTCCAGGGCAGAAGCTTCCTGGAAGTCACCACACAGTCCAGGGAGAGAATTCCCAGGCACAGCCTTGGCTTACCAGGAAGCCCCCAGAGCAGCCCCTCTCCTCCTGGAGCCGGCTCAGCTGCTCTAGCTTTATCCAGCGTTGAGCAGATCACTTGCAGGTGGGCGTTAGGTGGACCGGCAAACACGTGAGTCACAACAGGTGACACCTGTAGACACTTGAGGCAAACGTGAACCAAGGAACCTCCATCCCTCCCTACTCGTGATGCCTCTAGCACAGCAGGACCATCCATCACGGCTCTGCCAGGGCTTCGCTCCCAGCTGTGGGAAAACACAGCTCTGCCCACACACACCCCAAAGAGGCTGTGTCAGGGACATGCAGCAAGCAGGACCGCGAGGCTCTGCACACAACCAGGCTCCAGCTGCCACGAGCAACCACGGGACACGAGTCTCTTCCAAACATCACCAAGGTCCATCTTCAAGCCAGTAGGGTGGCTCCTCTCCCTCCAGCTCTCATGGTTAGAAACTTCATTTCCAGACTAAATCAATTCAGGGCAAGCTTATATCCATTTGTTCCCGTGCCAACATTGTCTTTTAAGGAGCTTATATGGCTCTTCTTTATCCCTGGTGTTCACCTACCTGGTACATTTGCAGAGGACAAACCACATCCCCTCTCAGACTTCAAAGTGACAGTTTCAAAACACATTTTGATTCGACAGAAAGGTAATTATAATGCCAGAATATAATTTTAAAAGGCGGTACCCTAGTTTGAGCCAGCTGCAGCACGGAGCCCGAACCCCTGCAGGCCGGCGGCGCTGCTGCGACCGCGCTCAGACGCAGCCCTCGACTGCAGCACCCAGACAGGGCCGGGGACCTGACTGCGCCAGCAACCTGCAAGAGCTGAGACAAGAGCTGAGCGAAATAGAGATGTGGGTGAAAATCAGTCACTAAAGAACAGCTCCAACGAGAATCCCAACAACTCCCTGCCCAGAGGTCGTTTACCAAGGCAAAGGGATGCTCCAGTCCCTGTTCCCCAGCAAGGGAAGATGCCCAGAGACAGCTGGTGTCAGGATGTCATGAACTGGCGATGCGACGGGTGCATTTACCAGCATAGCCAAGATTTGTGCCTTGGAAATCTGCAGTGTAACAAACTCACTCTGAAGCTTCGACTCGGACGTCATTTCTGTTCAGCTGCAGGGGCATGACGCCTGTCAAAGCTCGGCCGCGGACCCGAGTGCACGGGGAAGTTAAAGGTGTAGAAAAAGGCCAGGCACTAAACAGAAGGGATTCACAGCAAGTGCTGAAACTTGTCAGAGCCATCAGCAACTCCTGTTCACGGGAGCTCTTCAGCAAGGAAGCGCTTAGGGCTTCCAAGGAACAGGATCTACAAAGCCGGAGGTAGGACGTGCTCTTGGTGGGACGCCTAGAAAGGTTTGGGATGGATGGGGCACAAAAACCCCGTCAGGTTCTGCCTGGGGATAGGCTTGGGTCATGGGGGTTTTTCCGCACAGCAGCCAAGCAGGAAGGATCTTGTAAGCACGTTGTCCAACGCGGAGCAGCCCTCCAGCAAAATCCTTTGGAAAGCCTTGAACGAGGAGCAGGAGCTCCAGGGGGACTTTCCTGGCCCCAGCAGCCTCTAGACAAGCTACAGAGATGCCAGCAAACCTGCTCTCCACCCCCGTCGGGATCTCCCTTGCAAGCCAGCCTGCCTCTCGTCCTGGCTCCGTTCCTATTCCCTGGGTCGCCACTGCTGTGAGAGCAGAAACCTCACACAGATGGCTTCAAAAGAGCCCAAATAAAACTGGGAAGCAACCAACTAAGTCAGACACCACCTTCTAAAATATTAAAAGTGCACGTAGAAAAAAACCCACACATCAGAGCCCCTGAGTTTGCGCTGACTGCAGTTTCCGAGAAAAACCTTGTGCATATGCATTACCCGCTGCAGGGAAAGCGGCGGCAGGGAGAGCCACGTGCACAAAATTATTAACCCAGCAGCTCCCGGGGAAGGCAAGTGCTGGAGCTGGGCTCCAAGCAGGTCTCCATGCTGAGCCAGCCCATCCAAACCAAGGGGGTTTGGCTGAAGCACTAACGAGTCTGCAGCAAAGCAGCAAAACCAGGCAGGACCCCCTGGACGGCCTCGTCGCAGGGGGCGAGCGCTCCGTCGGCAGCGATACGGAGCCCCCGCTCGCTGCGAGGAGGAGATAGACTCACATTTATTCACTGTTAAAAGGGCTTCCAAAACTGGGCATGGAGACGCCCTTTATCTCCAAAGCGCAGCAAGCAGGGGATGATATTAGGCCATCAGCACTGGGAAAGACAAGGGGAAATCACCGAGACCGGGTCCTATCTTCAGAGAGCCGCAGCGACGCTTTGGCCCAGCCTGCGCTGCCTCTGCCGTGCTCTGCTTTTGCCCAAGCACTGCTTCTCCAGCCTCGGAGGTCTCACCGCCCGCGGGGGCGTTGCTCAGTTTTAAGAAATACTCTTTTTAATCAAGCAGAATGGAATGAAAATAATAGTAGTGCTGGTGGTGGAGCTCGGACTGAGGGTGCTCTGGGCTTGGGCTGCTCCTTCTCGAGGGATGCAACCTCTGCAGCAAGGTGGGCACAAAGCAGGGAGCCGCAACAGGCAGGTCCGTTTTTTAGGCCACGGGAGTTTTTTAATCTTTGCCTGCTTAAAGGGATTCAGGGAGGCACCGTCCCCAGCTGCAGAGCTGCAGCTTCTCATGGGCACAAATCTGGACGGGGCTCCAAGAGCCCCTTCTCTCCCAGACACCTATGACCACGTCAAGGCTTCCTACAGCATCCTCCATCCCTAGAATTCAGCACTCCAGGCAGAAGCAGGAGTGAGCCAGGCCTCCTTAGGGGCTGTTTATGACAACTTCAGTGGAGCTAACTCTTTAATACAGTCATCAAAACACAGCAAACATGAGAAGAAGCCTCCAGGAGGCAAAGAGAAAAGAAAATCATATCTGCTTCTGAAGCGAGCTGATTGCCAGCCACCTCCAGCTCCTCTTGAATCAGAAGCAAAGCACTGCAGCAGTGTTCAGCTTTTGCATGAGGGCTTTAAGGGGCCTGTTACTGTTGTGGTGAGCAAAGCACAGAGAGGGCTCAAAAACACGTGGCCCGAGAAGGGCTGAGCCCAGGCTTGCAGCCCATGTAACTTTCCCCCATATAAATCCATAACCTAGAGCCAAAGCCCTGTTTCAATGAGCAGAGTTTTGATAACACAGCGCTATTCTCATCTCCAGCAAGTTTTACTGTAATTACAGAGATGTGTTGCAGACATTACACTCTCTACAATTAGCGCTAATTGCATTACATTGTCACAAAGAAATCATTTACTCTCCGCAAGCTCACGAGATCGATCCGGGCAGTTAGAGAGCGCTAAAAAGCGCTCGGCAGCAGAGCCCCGCCGCGGGCGAGAGCGCGGGGAGCCCGCGGGCACCGTCCCCGTCCCCGTCCCGCGG